CAGTCCAGCAGCTGCTGGGGGCCAGGAGTGCAGTCCTGCAAATGGGCCATGGCCAGCAGTGGGGCCGGCAGCCAGGAAGGGAGCCAGCCAGGAGGCTAGTGGCCCTCCCAGGAGAGCTCTGACCTCCCCCGGACCCGCAAACTCCCTTGTTCGGATTGGTCAGGTCCTCAGGGTGCTTCCCCCGAGAGGGGCGGGAGATCCAACCTGCCTTGTCTTTTCTGGAATTGCTACCAGAGCATTCTCAAAGGGCAAAGCAGCGGGACTGGTCCCAGCGTATGGCAGTGAACTTGAACAGCCTGGCCTGTGTGGTTTGGGGGAGAACGAGGAACGGGCAACCCAGAACCACTCCCTCGCCTGGGCCCCCACGACACTTTCCCCTGTGCAGATGCTGCCCCAAAGCCCAGTCTGGACTGTTAACCCTGCGGGGCAGGGATTCCTGGCACGGAAACAGACTTGGATTCGCTCTCGCTGGGCTAGAACATTCAAAACAGGACGTAGCCATCTCCATCGCAATCACCACGGAGGGGCCACAGGACACCGCTAAGCAAAACCAAGGAGAACCTGGCTCTGTGCCTGGAGGGCACCTGGAGCGTGGCCTCACCAGTCACTGACCGCGCAGGACGCGAGGAACGGCCAAGACAGAGAATTCTCCTAAGCAGTCCCCTACTGAAGGGAGCCTGGAGGCTGGGATGCAGCCAGTAGCATTTGCCCTTCGTTACGGCCGGTCTGTGGTTATCGTAGCTCCTGTGTTTTATCCACCTTTGAGGAAAAGGAAAACCGGGTGGGGCGGAGAACTGTACCACTGGAGGCAGTGGGTACAGAGCCTGTCATGGGCAGGGGCACTGACCTCACCAGCCTGCCAGAGCAATTGAGTGGAAATAAAGCACTGGCTCTTTCAGCCTCGCATTACAGTGGGTACACTCTTCCAAGTGAGAGGGATGGCCAGGCTTGGACTACTGGAGGTGGGGCAGGGGGATGAGTTGATCACAGAAGACGAATGGACAGGCTCCAGCAAAGGCGGAGGGGAAGGAGGAGGCAGCTCTGCAAGCCGGGGTGATCCAGGAGATGGTGATGTCACAGAGTGGGGGAGGGGAGAGAAGGGGTGGTTTTGGAGGAGCGGGGAGGGCTCCGTTTGACTTGCTGGCAGCAGACATCCCAGAAGAGACTCCCCAGCACAGGACAGGGACAGTCAGGGCCCAGCGGTAGACGTAACCCGAGAGAGACGATCTTCCCACGAGTTGCTGGGAGACGAGCGGCCAAGCCGCACAGATGAGCATCACAGGTACCCAGAGCATCCCCGCTTCTCCACAGCATGACAATGTCAAGTCCAGACCTTGTTGTGGGGGCACCTTATTACACCCAAGCCGTGAGGGCAGGCGATGGAGCACAAGTTCCACTCAACGTCAAAGGCTTCCTTAGAAAAACGACGGCTGTCAAACGACGCTGCGCAGCGAGTGGACTTCACGTCTGCTCTCTGTACCCCAGAGAACCATGTCCCCGCTAGTCATCCCTCCAACAGTGTGAACGAAGGCCAGTTAACATTCCAGACACAATCATTTTTGCCTGCACTCGGTGCGAGACGGCCTCTATCCAGGTGTTCATTCACAGCATGTTTTCGGCCTTGTCTATACTACCATTGGCTGTACCCAGGGCTGCTCACCACTGTATCTTCACAGTGGTAAGTCGACGGTTCAACGGTCCTGTCAACGCAGCCTATTCCTCTCATTTTGGTGGCGGTGACGGGGGAGTGCTCGGTGGTACATGTATCGTGTCTACACTAG